AATCTATATCTATATCTATATCTATATCTATATCTATATCTATATCTATATCTATATCTATATCTATATCTATATCTATATCTATATCTATATCTATATCTATATCTATATCTACATATACCTATGAAATTTCTATTAAATAATTGAAATTCCCAACGAACGTTTATTGAAATTTATGAAATCGAAGTTCATAAACTTGGAAATGCGAATGAATTGAAAGCAAACGCTAAAATGATGCTTTGAGCTGGAGCGCTAATCGATAAAATATATCGATTGAACATTAGAAAGCAACGAGCGGGAGAGAGCCGCACAGACGTACGCAAAGAAAGAGAGAGGCAGACGCAGAGGTAGAGGCAGAGGTAGAGGCGAGCTGCGCTGCATTTATTAGATTTACGATCAGCGTGGGGCATCGGCTTCACTTTGAAGATGTTGCACAGCAACTGTGGCAACTGTGGCAACTGTGGCAACTGTGGCAACTGTTGCAAGTGGTCAACTGGCTGGCGAATGCTGCGGGCGTCAAGGCGTGAACACGCCACGAATGACAATGCGCTGCCAGCGCAACTGGAATGGGAGCAACAACAACAACAACAACAACAGCAACTGCAACAGCAACTGTTGTTGCTGGCCGCATATCTGTCGATTTTTATGTGCGCTTGCACGCCTTGGGGTATGCAATGCACTGCCAGCTGAAGAGAGAGAGAGGGAGAGAGAGAGAGAGAGAGGGAGAGGGAGATGGCAACATGTTGTAAATTTTCCTGGCTTGGCAAATTGAAAAGGCGTCGGCTTGGCATTTCGCATCTACGCGATTCGGGCCGACTGCCTAATGAGCTTTTGGCTATTGGCCACGTTTCGGGCAGATGCTGGCCTGACTTGGCTTGGCTTGGCCCGGCCCGGCCCGGCCCGGCCCGGCTCGGGACTGTATCCAGTCTGTGGCTGTCACGCGCCCCGTTTGCACTAGAATTTATTTAAAAAAATGCAATCGGCGCGCTCACGCCCCCAAATGCAAAAGGCCGCAACCAAAATGAGCGCTAATAAATTCACGCGCATATTAGTGGACCCGTTTGGCTCGATATACATACATATACTAACTATATATACATACTATATAGTATAGGAGAAGCAGCAGCAGCAGCAGCAAAGTCTGCGCGTCTGGCATTAAGAAAATCGAATTTCCTGATTACAACAGGCAACAGCCGCAGCAACAGTTGCTGGAGAAGCAGCAGCAGCAGCAGCAGACGGTGCAACAGCAGGAGCAGGAGCAGGAGCAAGAGCAGGAGCAGGAGGCGGCACTGTCCAGGCGTCGCAAATTGCCAACACTTTTAATTGAACGCCGCTGTCGACGTCGCTGCTGGCGTCGCTGCTGGCGTCGCTGTCGCCATGCTGCTGCTGCTGTTATTATTAACATTGCGGGCATAACGCCCCCAAAGCTAATGAACGCCAAAGGCTTTGATTTCTAACGCCAGGCGCAGTTAGAAAATGTTGCATGTAATTTGCAGCCAAATAGTCAACAACATAAATTGCCATAGATTAAAGCACGCAGCAGCAGCAGCAGCAGCAGCCAGCAGCCAAGCGAGAGCGGGAGAGCGGGAGGCGATCCTCTCGTATTGAGATTGCGTGCTCGATTGTGGGCGTTGCCACACTTTCCCATTGCGGTCCATATAAATCGTCAACAAATTTAAATGAAATTACAAAAGGCAGCCAACGCCTCGGAGCGGCACGTTCGAGCCAGCCAAATGAACTGGAACCGCAACTGGTTCAGGAACTACAACCGAAACAGCTACTACTGCCAAGGCTATAAATCAATGCGGCCAACAGCAGCAACAGCAGCAACAGCCAGCAGCAACTGTTTCAAGGGCAGCGCCGCCAATTAGCCAAAGCATTGCGCCGGACCAATCAATGAGAATATATATGTATATCTGTATACATAACTGCTAAATATATATATGTATAGTGTAGTAATAGAGAAAAGGAGTTAGTAGTAGCAAATATTTATAAAGAGTAGTGGTTAAGTGACTCAGCAGTTGACTAAGAAGGAGGCAGAAAAGGGTAGTATAAAGTTGTAAGAGCGTATATAGTAGTAAATAGCAGTAAATAATTGCAGAGAGCAGTTGATAGTACTAATTTGTATGCTTAGACTAAATAGTAGTACCATATAACAGAAAAACAGTAGTAGTAGTAGTAGTAGTAGTAACAGTAGTAATGGTAGTAGTAGTAGTAGTAGTAGTAGTAGTAGTAGCAGTAGTAGCAGTAGTAGCAGTAGTAGCAGTAGTAGCAGTAGTAGCAGTAGTAGCAGTAGTAGCAGTAGTAGCAGTAGTAGCAGTAGTAGCAGTAGTAGCAGTAGTAGCAGTAGTAGCAGTAGTAGCAGTAGTAGCAGTAGTAGCAGTAGTAGCAGTAGTAGCAGTAGTAGCAGTAGTAGCAGTAGTAGCAGTAGTAGCAGTAGTAGCAGTAGTAGCAGTAGTAGCAGTAGTAGCAGTAGTAGCAGTAGTAGCAGTAGTAGCAGTAGTAGCAGTAGTAGCAGTAGTAGCAGTAGTAGCAGTAGTTCTAATAGTAGTAGTAGTAGTAGTAGTAGTAGTAGTAGTAGTTGTAGTTCTGATAGTGGTAGTAGTAGTAGTAGCTGTAGTTCTGATAGTGGTAGTAGTAGTAGTTTTAGTTCTAATAGTGGTAGTAGTAGCAGTAGCAGCAGTAGCTCTAAATAGTTCTACATAGTTGCAAATAGTAGTAAATAATAGCGGCTACTACTTTTGCTTCTCCTATTTCTTTAATACTAAAGAAGAGATAGTAGTAGCATTTAGTACTATGTAGTAAAAGCGTAGCTGATAGTGATTAATAATAGTTAATAACAAATAGTAGTAGTTTATAGCAAATAGTAGTAGATACTGACATTTTGTAAAAGTATCCTGCGCGTAGTTGCAAATAGTACTAAATAGTTGCGCCTACTACTACTTCTACTACTCTCCTGCTTCTTATCAGCATGAAATCAAATAGTAGTAGCAAGTAATAATAGTAGCAGATGCCTACACTCAGCAACACTTGCAGCACTCTCCGACCTAACGGAACAATTCGGATCGAATGAGTCCAATCATTCAACGAGCATAGAACTGTGTTTATAGCAACGGCACGTAGCTGCAAAATCAATAAAACCAAATAGGCCATAATCTGTGCCATAATTTCTGCTATAATTATGGCAGGAGAATTCGCCCGACTAGAACCGGCCCCAATGCAAATTATAGAAATTTGCGCACATTACGGGAGAGCGGGAGAAACGAAAGGGAAAACGAAAGGGAAACCGAATATAGGAATATAAACAAAATATGATAATAATAATAATAATGACAATAATAATAATAGTAATAATAATGATAATGCCAATAATAATAGCAAGCGAGCCGAGGGGAAATCTGAAATTGAACGTAATCACAATCTTTTGGCACAGCCGCAAATTGTGCGGATCAGCTCCGGGCGATTGAGGGGGCGGGGCGTCAGCGGGGCAGGCGGCAGGTGGGACGGGAGTAAGGCGCCGTCAGTGTAGGCGTGCCACAAGGTGGGTGCAGCGATGCAGCAGTAGCGCAGCAAACTGTTGCAGCTGCAGCTTAAATTATATTAAGACATAAAAGCAGAGAGAGAGAGAGACAGCGAGAGACAGAGACAGATGGTGGGAGAGAGCGAGAGAGAGAGGGCGGGGTGAGGAAGAGCCAGCGACTGTGTTGCACTTGGCAGCGCTGCATGTTGCAAGTTGCATGTTGCCTTTGTGCAGCACACAACAAAATAGCAAATGGCAAACCAACAACAACAACAACAACAACAACAACAATGAGATGGGCACTGCCAGCGGCAAATGTTAAATTCCAGCAACAACAACTCAGGTAAATCTAGGCACCTTTATACATATACACATACATCCACGTCTACATCTACATCTACATATATAAAGCGCACAGGCGATATGCTAACATTATAATTTGCATATTTCGCCGCAGTGTTTTTGGCGACCCAACTCAGCGCTGATGGGTGGTCAAGCAGCAGCAGCAACAACAACAACAACAACAACCAGAACAACAACAATCAGGGAGTGGCCTTCATAGAAATGTTAACCTTTTGCAACAGCGCCGCAGCGTGAGTCTGTTTTAGTATATACTATAATACTGTATGTAGAGTATATACATATGTATAAGATAAAAATACTATATAGTATATGCATGTATGTATACATAGTATGAACTAGGATAGTATTTGTATCTATAGTAAAAATTATATACAGATTCGTTTATGTATATAATAAAGTATATATAGACCATGTGTTTGATAGTATATATAGTATTCACCTAGATATATACTAACTGAAACACCTCAACATTCACCCTATCTAGATATATATAAATAGATACACATATATAAATACAGTATATACATTTAGTTCCAGATATATATACAAACATACACATATAGTAGTATAATATGCACATACATATGTAGTTCTAGGTCCGGTTCTATTACAGAACATCTATATATGTATATAACTA